CACAACATTAGTCATATTGTATATACATGCAAATGGCAATTAAAGTTAGGATAAAACCGATGCCTTGTTAAAATGCATTTTCTATGAGCCTGGATCTTGATTTAATAATAAATAGACAATAAAAATAATATTTTTTACTACTAATATTAAAAACAATAAATGACTGCATAATAAATAAGCATAAACCAGGATTTTGAATTTTTTTAACCATGCATTTATTTCCTGTAAGATGGTAATGCATGGTGTGAAAATAACAAGAAAAAAACCCAAACAAAAATAACATGACTGATCAAAGGAAAAGGGATGAAAAAGAACTTCCCAAATAAAATTACCAACTCACAATGAGTTAATTGTCAAAATTCCCAGCGTGAACAATGGAGCTGTTGAAGCTGGTTTTTGAAGGAAAGACAAAAGAGTTTTCATAGCACAAGTATTAAGAAGCTACATAAAGATGTCTCTGAAGTCCCACTGTAAACAGTAGAAGGTCATTAAGGCTATTTGCTTGTTCTACTATTTTCCTTGACTTATTTTGGAGGGCTACAGCATCCTGACCATTAGGATCACTAGGATGAAGCAGCTGCATAAATCTGCTCCATTTCTGCACTTGAACACATGAGATACATGCCTAAAAGGGAAAGCAAAAAGAGTTGGGAACACTTTGTAGAAAATGCATTGTAGGGAGACACAGAAGCAGCCAGAGCCTGAGCTAAATGACTGGCAAGAAGCAGAGTCAAGAGGTAAATTACCTGATGCTTTCCAGAAAAGCCTTGAGGAAAATGACTATGTTATCATGTATATTAAGTTCAATTCATGTGTTCCAGAAAAATTACTTTAGAGAGCAGCACACAGAGTTTTTTAAATTTTCCTGGGAATCAATGTAATGTCTTCTTCCCTGTAAAACAAGGTAATTTTTCTGCCCCTAATGAAAAGCAAGAGATTTGAACAATCGGGCTACAGAGAATAACAACTTTCCAAGCAGATATTCGGCTACTGCAGTTCAGCCCCAAGGAATGAATCATGTAAGCAGCTCTTTAAAGTCTGAGAATGTTTAATAGGCTTGGCAGCATGTAAAGATTTTTGGGAATTGGACAAGATACCCATGACCACACAGTTAGAAATCCCATTGCTGGAGAGAAGCAGCAGATTTCCAGCCAGCATTAGAGTTGGCCACTGTTGTCCGTAACCCTGCAACACTGAGAAATGGATGCCTTCTGTAGAAAGGCTGTATCTGGAAATAAAAAAACAAATCCATTTAGGCCAGTTTGAGTAGTGAAGAGGTAAGTTGGGGGTGATTGCTATTATGGCCTCATCCACATGCTACCCTTTATAAATAAATACTTGGAAAAGACAAGTGTCTTCTGCTTCATCCAATTCCTACTTTGACATCTCTAGTTTGTTTTTCAGAGTGGTATTATTCTGTCCTGACCTCACAAGTCATTCAAAGAACAGGTTCTTTTCTTTTCTTTTCTTTTCTTTTCTTTTCTTTTCTTTTCTTTTCTTTTCTTTTCTTTTCTTTTCTTTTCTTTTCTTTTCTTTTCTTT